TATTGTAAATTTACCAATACATATGCTTGATGTACACGCATTTAGTACACTATACACATAAGTTCTATATGCATAAATTGAGATGGCTATAGGTTTTAACCTGTTAGCGTTTGGTTTTTGCTTTCAATCATTGTAAGATGCTTATTCCAAACTTGAGTCTCGATTTTAAGGCATACTATTACCTAAAATATTTGTGCCCATTATTGTGCAGGACAATAAGGATCTTTATGCCGAGGAGGCTGCTGTTCAAAGAGAAAAGGAGCGGCAAAGGATGTTGACAATCCCTGGACTAATTGCTCCCAACGAGATACAAGACGAGATGGTCGACTCATAAATTGTTAGGAAATTTTGCTGCCATGGCCGATTTTGTCGAATTATTTTTTTCCTGGAGTATGCAGTGGTACAATTTATGGGGTTTCCATCTGTGTAGTTCTTTTTTTTTTTTTTTTTTTTTAAAAAAAAAAAAACTGTTTTTAGGATAATTTTTATCTGTGTGGAACGGTGGAGCAGATTTGAGGCAGTCGGGCTTTTGCTACACATTGAATTATTCTTATGATGGTGGTAGAATATCTTAGATTCTAATGTAGGAATTGGATATAGTTTTGTTAATGGATTTCTGGGATCTGTTTTGTGACGATTGTAGCGTTTGTCTCATCTCCATGTATACACACTTTTAGTGGGTTGTGAAAAGATCTCTCTGTTTACCAATTGGTATATTAATTGTGGCTTCACACGTCGTCGACTCTCTCGACACAATGTTCCTTGGTTTGAATAAAGTCTTCTGGTGGCGATTGGGTACATATTTTTTTGGTAATTCTTTTCTTAAGTTGTTAAATGTTTAGATAATTATACTTTTCAGTAAACGTATTAATTTTCATGACTTTTCACAATATAAGTATGCAATTTTAGTGACAAAATATGACTGTCCAACGGTAGGAATGACTATAATATATAGAGCTACTAGACATATGGAGATATATTAATCCCATAATCATGAATCTCAAGGTTGCTCTAGGGTAATTTTCAGTTTTCCGGGAAAAAATACATGGAAAAGATACTGAAGCTGGATCCACTAACCCATCTCCCCATTTTAGTCATCAACTCTGAAGTTGAAACCGGATTAAAAATGCAAGTACCATTCATGATTCAACAGTGCACACCAGCGTACATGGAGTATCGATCTACAATCTGGAAAGGTGAAGCGAATACAGTGCAAATAGACAAGATTCAGGAAATGATGCCCATCTCAAGAAGGTTCTGTATAAAGTGCACTCTACCCTGAATCATTACAACTCAGTCTCATCAAGAAAAAAAACCGAACCGTCCAACTTCTCACATCTTGTTCTAACAAAGGGTTTTTGGGCTAAATTTCTTTGCCAATGTTTGGGCATGGAGTTAAGATTCCATTTGCACTGACTGTGTTGGACTAGGATTTGGCCCAGATGATTTGATGTTGTCTTCAGTGGTCTCCATGTCCATTGTCGTGTTTTCGCCAGTCTCAGCTACCTGTACTTCAGCCATTATTTCATCCTTGTCATCATCAGAAGGGTTTTCGACCCCATTCTCTGCTAGCTCAGGCTGAGGCTGGGCAACCACACTTTCCACATGGGCCCCATTTGTATTTTGTTCAGTGGCAGTTGGATTCGGGTCGGTTGAGATTGTTAACATTGACGTAACCAATAAATTCTGCAAGACAAAGATTACCCGATGACTGATACTGTATATGCAAATCTATAGGGAAAAGGAGGTTGGCTGTCCTTTTAAGTAGCAGAGAATTTTCCCATGATTACCTATTTATTCATATACTTGTGAAGCTTTTCCAAAAAAAAATATATATTTATATATATACACATATATATACGTATATATATATATATATATCTGATTGGATATATTTTGGCTTGATCTCACTATTTAGTATTTACTGCATCAACTTGTTTCTTATTATTTTTTATTTTCATTTTTTTTTTTAAATAAATTGTACATTCGTAGCAAAAGCCACATTACAGTACAAGTTGTCCACATAAGAATAGCTAGACACAAAGCCCACTTCCAAACAGTACAAGTATTCCATATTTGAACATACCTTCTCTAGAGCCAAAGAAAGCTTCGAGAGCTTTGGATACATGCTTCTTGGAGCCAATAGGATCTGTTCAAAAAGTGGCACCAAGACACATCATCAAAGTGGTTTTAGCAAACTTTGTACCAAAATTTTAAGCATTAGCCCACTTTCATTGCCAAAAATACAAATGTAGATTTAAGTAACCAATTAAAGCCAACGTACTGTACGATAGTTACCTCGCAAAGTCTTTGCAATGTAAATGGTGGGCCTTCGTCAAAGCTATGAAGAGCTGCAGAACATAATAAATACAACATGAAAATGTTAATACTCTGACAAAGTCCCATTCATACTATGTAGCCTCCTTGCTCAAAGAAATAAATATTATGATCCTAGAAGTGGACTAAAACTATTCATTCTCCAAGTGCTGTACTGGCAATGTGATCTTACGATTCGGACCGCTCAATGAAGGCGCACACATGTACAGATAAGCAGATGCAGCGTAGTTTAGCAGTTGACTTAACTGCCCAAATAACTTTCAGCTTATTAAAAAAAAAAAAGTCGAGGAGCCAAAGAAAAGGTGAGAGAGAATAAATACTGAACAGACTTTCCTTGGTTCGAAGTATCAAAAGGTCGTTGCTAAATTTAGTATACAAACAACAAAGAGACACCATTCAGGACCCATGTCAGAACAGCCGGTAGGGTGAAAATAAGGAGTGTATGTCACAGGAAAGTACCATGGTCCAACCTTTCCACCAACTCCAGAAATGTCTCGCCAAGAGATGTAATCTGCTGCTCGCTGGTCATTGAGGCCTCTGGATATTGTGAGAGGACCTTTTGCAGAGAATTATAAAGAATAGTCAAGAATCAAAACAAAAACAGAATTTCACAGAACAAAATCTACAATTAGAAGGCAAATCAATCTTTCATTGAATTCATCCAATCCATCTTGGGTTGAAGAGTGTGAAATAGAAACAAGGGCACCTCCAGAAGTATGATTGATTACAATCTTCGTACCTCCCCATACCTGCTTAAGATGATACGACAGAATGCTCTTTAATTTTCTCCAATCTAGCCTGAAATAACATGACATAGCCACAAGTAAATCAAAAACAAACTTCAAATTTAAGTAACCAATTAGAATAGTTGTATAAAAAAGAAAACTATATGCAACCAGCTACAAAGACAACTATAGGCACCAATGAAATGATCCAACGACTGACATGTGCATGAATTATACGAAAAAAAAATTAATATAGTGACAAACAGTATACCAAAACTCCCCGGTGGATGCGCTTTTTTCCAATGCGGCTCTTACTTCTTCTTCTGAGAAAGTTGTTGGAGGGTCTTGCTGCATTCTGTGTTCTTACACCGGGGAAGGACTATAGTCATACTTTTGATAGCATAATAGGAAAAACACTAAAGTTCAAGCCCATTACCACAACAATGCAAGTAAATGATGATATATAAGTTTTGTGGTAAAATGCAAATCAGACATTGTTTCCATCCCTCTAGCAATTTCATACAACATACTTCCAAAATAATACATCGACGCCTATTTAATGCATATCTATAAACAAATCAAGCTAACAGTTCGCTGATTTCATACCGCTCAAGCACAAGCCACTAACTTACCAAAAAACACAAACTCAAATTGTGAAAAGAAGAGGCCAACTAAGTTTTATTATACATTTCCCAACCCAAAAAACATATACTCAAAACTCCAAAGAGGGTAAAGTACTTGGTACATCAAACTGCACATACAAAAACTGATATATTAGCCGAAATAAACATATGGAAGGGACAAGCCCAGTTCACTTTTACGACATTGACCGGAATAAGTCGACTTCGAAACATTCAAATCTCTGTAGCAACCGATGAAAAAAATGAACTAACCCATTACTGGTTTGACACATACACACACATACAAGTAAACAGTTGACGAAAGTGATTGGCTACGCTCATCATCACACACTCTAAAGCTGTCAAAATATCCATAATAATCAGAGCTTCTAGGTCGGTAATCATTTGATAAAACGAAAAAATTAACTCAAAACTCAAAAGAGAAGATCAAAAGCTCGTACCCATGATTCGGCAGCACTTCAGGTGCACAATTATCGCGCAGTACGCCGTCGTCTAAAACAGACGAATTCTCCAAAACAGATGGATTCTCCAAAATCTCATTCACTGACGTCGCCATTAGCTGATTTGGTGGAAGTTCAGATAGCTTGAAAAGGACCAAATTCGTAAATGGTGTTATGCCCCTTTCAAAGCTGAGAAGTAATTCGCACTGTCCTTAGAAAAATAAGTGAGACGCTAAAAGTCGCAATTACCCTCCACCTCATTTCTCTCTATCTTCTACTCTCTTTCTCTCTCTCGTTTTTTGCTCGTTAGACGTCCGAAAAAATTCCGAAAAAATATCGGGACCATCTAAACGCGGCGGCAAGGGGTTCTTCGTTCGATCGGTACGTTTTTTTTTTGAAATTTCGATCGAAAAATTTGAATTTTTTTTTTTTTGTTCTGTAACTG